AAAGCCCCTGATGATCTTTCCATCCATGCAGAGAAAATGACTGTAATACCTCTGAGTCTGGAGAAGAAGATTTTTGAAATATTGGTTAATTTTCCCTTTTGGGCCCCGCCCTGGCCCCTAGGGTTGGGGTAGGAATCCCAATTTTACAATTTGATAGCCTCATCTACCAAGGATGATTCTGACCAAGTTTGAAAAAATTCCATCCACTGGTTCTTGAGAAGAAGTTGATAATGTAAAAGTTTACGCACGACGACGGACGGAAAGTGATTGGAATAGGTCACTTGAGCAAAGCTCAGGTGACCTAAAAATGGGGCGAACTTGCCCCGGTTTCTCCTGCAATGTCTCGAAGCAATGAATTCTATTTTACGATTTTTTTAAAAACATTGACAGGTGTTTTAAATACTAACATAATTTTTTCACTTGTCCCTTACAAAAGTATTGGAAAGTCGATGGATGTAGTTGACCTGGAATATATTGTAATTAGTTCCTCAATGTAACGTTCAGCTTCGGTCTGTATAATTGCTAATTAAACCCTTAAACTAACTTTTAAATATGTTTTTAGATGAACATCTTCAATCAATTCGGATTTGCACTTGGCACAGTCAACCCGGCTTTTTCGAACATTTCCAAAGCTCCCCATTGCAATTTATCTGAACTCGTAGTAGGAACCATGCGTAACAAGAAACCATTTATGGACTCCTATGGTTTCTGAAAATAGGTTCCACTTTATAACTTACATGTATTTAAGGTCTGACAACTAGACGATGTACATACATTGTTCACAAAGTACTATATAAAAGAGCCAGATTTCAAAATGAAATACACTCTGAATCACAGGCACTCTATTGCTACAGGACTGTGCAATTTCACAACAAAATCCCACTTTGTATTTTTAACGTTTTATTAAAACAAACAATTAAAAAAGGAAAAGTAACAAAATATGATACACCACTTGAATGTTTACAAAGTTTAGACATAAAATCTGCACACATCAAACATAACACATTATTTTCGCTGCATAAATGACTAGGAAATGATAACTGAACACATTTGCATATTAAACATGTTGCATAGTACCTTGTTCTGTGTATCAGTACAGGTAGGTACAGAGTGTTACCAATGAAATGTAGCACAACTCTAGAACAAAATTTGGATTTACAAAAAAAGAGAAGAAAAAAGAAAATGTTGCATTATACTTAATATAAATTCCTGGTTGCTTACCACAAGCTTCAAAAGAAAATAGCATTAATTCAGCAAAGAAGCTAATTTATAACCAAACGTTTACAACCTAATTTAGCAATAAAGTACAAAATCAGCAATAATAAAGAAAGTGACAACCACCAGATCATGAAATATCAGAAATGAGACAAATTTGAAATGGAACCAAAAAAAACCCATTTAGCTAGCATAAACGTTATTTTACAAATATCAACAAAATATAAATGCACTAGACTGACAAAAATATAAAATACATAACTGGCACATAGGTAGATGTTCTTTTTATTTAATTTTGAAAAAAAAAAGAAAGATTACATGACAACACAAATATTTTACATACAGAACAGTTGTCAGTACAGTCTGTTGTAGGAAGACAACTACATGCACAAAATGGGGACAAACTCAAGCTACAAAATGTGATACCAGGACCGGAGATCTGATCAAGTTACTAGGGCCAAATCCTGGACTTTTTGTTAGTAGGTTAAAAAGTTAAATGAAAATTTCAGCAACCCATCCATTGCACAAATGTTCTTAACAGAAGTTAAAATATATCCACTGAAAACAAAATATTCTGCCCGTTATACATACATCGATTCTCCTTCCAACACAATCTACTTCAATATTTAACCCCCGGTTTCGCCCATTGTATTACCTATGCCAGTTGCCTGGGAACCTATTTGAAAAAAATCTCAATAGCTGTAACAGTATCTTCAATAAGATTCATCAGTTTGGCAGTATGTAACATCAGTGGTTCACTTTATACACAGACAATGCACGTATTAAATGGGTTGCAACGTTTCAAGACCGACTGGTCATAGCCTAGCGTAGATAGCATACAGGAAGCTATGATAGCCATACAAAGGGACCAGTTGGTCTTGAAACATTGCAAACACATTTAATTCGTACATTGTTCATGCATAAATTAAGATTTGATATGTAACAATATCAATACATCAGAAGTGAAATAATATAAAATGTGGTATGACTTTATATAATGGAAACTGAAGGATTTTTTTTTTTTTTTTACAACCTGGATTAATTAATCTGGTATGTGTTGGCTACTCTGGTAGAGGATATGTGTGAATACTGACAAAAACACAGTCAGTTTATATACTACATCACTTCATCTTCAAAACACAAGATATATATGATCTACTACATGTAAATTCAACAAAATCCTTATAAAAAAAAAAGAGAACAAAAACTTTTCAAAAAGAAAATTATGTACATGTACTACTTATTAAAAACTACCATGAGAATCACTAATACGTATACACAATCACATTTCTTGCCTTCTTCAATCCTGTTTACTGAGAATCTTTCGCCCAGTAAAATATTCGCCTTCACAAGTAATCTATGTTCACCCCTGTTAGTTCTTCCTTCCAAAATGTAACACAATATATGGTATGCTGTTTACTAATATTCGCTACTATGGTAATTTAACCTTCATACAGGAGGATGAAAAAGGCGAAATTTAGACTAGGACAAACATTTCCCAGCATATATTATGCACAACCGGAACAAACATATAAATTCTTAACTGAGTATTCTGTGAAAGTCAAGAAACAACAGCAAGACGTAATCATTTTTGAAATAAAAATAGCAAAGACTGAAACCTAATGCCCGAGTTCAAAGGTGTATCCAGTATTCTGACTATCTGACAATGCACATACAAATATACTTCTAGACTATATTTTATCACTGGTCCTTTCGTAAATGGATGGAATGATGATGTAAAAAATATTGCAAAAAAGTTGATAGAGCATGAAGTTTACAATTATAGGTTACACATAAGTTCATGACTGATTGATAAAAAAAAAAGAATAACAACATTTTTCACTTGCATATTTTATCAGTAATAAGCCTTTTCTGCATGTAAGGTCACAGAGGTCAAATTCTGTGATTAATTCAACCATGCAGTGCTAACTGCTAAGCTTACTTCCATTTTAAGAACTAGGCTCTGTGGACTAATAATACCAGGCCAAAGAGACTTGCTGAATCAATTACTTCATGACAACTAAAATCTACATGCATGGTCAATAACTCTCAATGTTTAAGTTGGTGCTTTTCCAATATCAAGCTGAAGCAAACATCTTGCAGAGGACTTCAAACACATTAAAGACATGTCTTGGATTCCTGAATAATATCAACATTAAATAGCACTACTTAATTGGAACACAAATTTCATACAGCACTGCCACTGACACCAATCTGGTATCTACATAACACTGTGAGGTAGTAACACAAAAGGCCCAAGGGGTCTGTAACACTCACATGGCTATTTGGGAATAAAGTTGAAATTCAATATTTTGGGAAGCAAGGTCCTGGAAGGGCAAGTCATTTTGTTTTTTATGATATTCAATTTCCATAGGCTACGGATGCTAACACTAAAGTTTGGCTAAAACATGCCCAGTTGTTTTAGACAAGATGTAATTTAAAATAAATCAACCCATTCAACCCCTTTGGACTCCATCCCTCAGCCCCCAGGTGGGTCAGATCGTTGATTTCTATAACTTAAGTTCCTCATGGCCTAAGGATGCTAGCTCTAAAATGTGGTGTTTAAAGGAAAAACTGATAGACGACAGACTGAGCACGACCATACAAGCTCAATCTGGTATTTTGTACCAGTTGAGATAAAAAGCATACACAACATGTACACAGCATCAATAAATCTATATCTTTTATCAGAATAGAACCAAGGTGCAGCAAGCTTTGTCAATTTGATCAAGCATTATTGAGGGAACTTTTAATTAGAGAAATTTTCATCTTTTAAATAATTGTAAGAGAAAACCATGATCTGTGATTTGATGTGGTAACTAGTAAATCAGAGAAGAATTCATAAACACTCTAAGCTTCTTTTCCCAAACAGATTGTCTTGGCATATTGAACAAAACCTTTTTGAACTAAGATGACAATGCAACAAAATATAGTCTATGATAGAACTCCCAATTGCTGATTTCCACTCGTATATGCCAACCTTATACTCATTAAAAAAATATGTTGTAATCTATTAAAAAAACAATTACTTATAGGTGAGATCTTGTACATTAGTATGCTAACTATGTGTATACCTATCTTGATTGGTGCTTCAATCTCATCCAAATCAGTACAGAAACATAACAAATACAAGGAATCAGGTTTAGGTGAGGCATAATACACAACTTGTGTCCATGTTGCTATATCTCAAAAGGGACATATATATATTCCAAGTAACCAATGACTAATTATTGATATTTCCAAAGAAGTTCACATTCTGAAGTGTCACACTTGAGAAACAGCTGAGAGGAGTAGGGGGGTGGGGGGTGATAAGGTACATGTTGGAAAAGGCTTGGTAACAATGTAAAATAAAAATACCAATAACATATTATCTATATGGCACAGTAACAAAGTTGAGGACTATGTACACCCCCTAATGTAGCACCATACTATCAACAGTCATTTATTAGCATTACAATGAGCTTATCACAGAAACACTTTTATGTGAATATACTGAGTGCCCTTGGGCGTGACTTTTGAGCAAGCGTAATGTCATTGTGCATGCGTCCAGAACGCTGTTTCTTAGTCAATTGTCACACCACATGTTATAGTGGTGAGAAGATTTATTCTTGATGCATGCACATTGAAATCATATCTACTCTCAAATCTTGCAAAAACAAATTCCTTTAATGAATCAAATACATAAGCAACAACCAATTTTGAAGAAAAAAAGAAGTAATAATGGAGAGTATGTTAGCTTATATGATAATCTAGATGAAGTATGAGATGAAGTATGCTAGCTAATACGATAATCTAGATGAAGTATGAGATGAAGTATGCTAGCTAATACGATAATCTAGATGAAGTATGCTAGTTAATAAGATAATCTAGATGAAGTATGCTAGCTAATATGATAATCTAGAAGAAGTATGCTACCTAATAGGACAATCTAGATGAAGTATGCTAGCTAATATGATAATCTAGAAGAAGTATGCTACCTAATAGGACAATCTAGATGAAGTATGCTAGCTAATATGATAATCTAGAAGAAGTATGCTACCTAATAGGACAATCTAGATGAAGTATGCTAGCTAATATGATAATCTAGAAGAAGTATGCTAGCTAATATAATAATCTAGATGAAGTATGCTACCTAATAGGACAATCTAGATGAAGTATGCTAGCTAATATCATAATCTAGATGAAGTATGCTATTTAGTATGATAATCTAAATGAAGAAAGCTACCTAATACGATAATCTAGATGAAGTATGTTAATTGAAGTATGCTACTTAATATGATAATCTAATTTCAGAAAGCTACCTAATATGATTATGATAATATAGGTTAAATATGCAAGCTCATGATAATCTAGAAAGAATACCCAGCTAACATAATAATATGAAAATATTTTTGACTATGTTAGTAATATCATACTTTGACTGTCTATTATGCTGCATTTGTTCTACTGCTACATCTGAAGTGTTAGGAGATCACACTGGCTAACACATAAAGCTTCAATCAGATCACATATTTCAATATACACAAATATTTCTCAGCACCATCTCACCAATTGTTCCTGTAGGACCCCAAAACCATCTGTGAAGTCAGTGAAATGCAGCAAGGAATTGTCAGTTTAAGACAGTAGTGTTTCAAATCTTGCTTTACTGTGGGTGAATAATTGAACGGACTCTACTTGCTAATTATTTTAACACTGACTGTTAAAAAGTGCATGAAATCCTGCACTTGTATACCGTATACAAGTTCCTCGTACTCTTTCCAAAACTAATCAACCTTCCCTCAAAAAATTCAGGACTCCGGAATTCCTTCAGGAATTAAAGTGAATTGTCTTATCCATCAAAAACATCTCTGTTCTTTATCTACTGCTGTCTCATCCTGAAAATATATAAAATACATGTAATCAACTAGAGACAAAACCACGATACATCTATCTAATTATACAACACATTCTGGCTGATGCCATACCCTGCATCAATATTTTTTTAAACAGTTTAAAAATTATGGCAAAGTACAAAAGTGAGCACTAATTTGACCTTTGACCTTGAGGTGAATTTTTGTGCATGATGCATGCATACATAAAATTATGGACACATTTATAAATGAATATCTGAAAAGATGCATGGTTAACTTCAAATAAAATCATCAAAATCAAAAATAAATCACAAGCACATAACAATATGTGGGAATATCTGATTTCAGCCGTCTGTTCCCTAATTTCGTAGTGGATAGTATAAATAATATCAGAAGTAAGCTTTTAATTAGGAAAAGTTTATGTTTAAAATTCATACAATGTAACTCAATCCTGGAAAGTTAAACATTTTAACGAGAATATGAATAATCGGATGCTACATTTTATCAAAGCGTTAATGGGAGAGCATAAGGAATTTTACACACTGTAGAGTTGCTTATTTTGCAGGTCCAAGTTGTGTAATTTTTATTCAAAATGAAGAATTCAAATTAACAGACCTGGAGATAATGATTTCCCCCCTCCCAATATAGGGGGGGGGGGGGGGGGGGGGGAGTGAAAAAAGGATGAAAAACAGTATACACTTTTGAACTGTTCTCTGTTTATTAGTGTACACATTTGTGTATTACCTGTTCTAACCTGTGAACTGATCTCAGTGTTTTAGTACCCATGGCATAAAACATACAATCCATTTAAATCAATCTGACTTGCCTCTGTACTGGATTGTTTGAGAGCCTACATACATTGTACATACATACATCTTGGGGTTAATATTAAGGTGTGTCATATTATTACATAGATCAAATTTTAATGATCATTTATACGACCTGCACATTAGTGTTAATATCACCCTTATGTATATAACCAGCTATACAGTATTAGAATTGGGGTAAAACAATAACAAGTGCTTACCTACCTTTTCCATTTCCAGACTCTCCATATGTAGCTTATTGAGCATTTGTTGGACAGCACGAGTCTGCTCCTGTCGACGCTGCAGTTTGGGAGGCAATCGGAGGTACTTCTTCTCAACTGTAATCACGGAGGAATCCTTCACTAAATCACTTTCTCCTGTAGAAGAACCTTGGCTCTCAACTGGCGAGATAGATGTCCTAGGTCTAGTGATCGATTGTTTTACTATAGGATGGTTTCCATGACAACTCTCTTTTTTTGTTGATGCACTGTTTGCTGTTGGAACTGATGGTGGCATGTACTGTTGCGCAGGTGTAATGTTTCCGTGGATTGACATTGGATTGTACTGTTCTGCTGATGGAATATTTCCAGGGACTGAAGGTGGATTGTATTGTGGCGCTGGGGTAATATTTTCTGGAACTGAGGGTACCGGTGGATTGTAATGTTGCATTGTTGAACTATTTCTCAGGATTTTCATTGGATCGTACTGTTCTGCTGATGGTATGTTTCCAGAAACTGAAGGTGGCTTGTACTGTTCAACTGCTGGAATATTTCCAGGGACTGAAGGTGGATAGTACCTCTGTACTGGGTTAACCATTCCAGGGACTAAAGGTGGCTTGTACTGTTGTGCTGGTTGAATATTTCTATGGACCAACATTGGATTGTGCTGTTCCACTGGTGGAATATTTCCATGGACTGATGGTGGATTGTACTGTTGTGCGGACATGACATTCCCAGAAAATGGTGGTGGGAATGGCTGTAAACCATCTCTATGACAACCTTCATCCAGTTGGTGCAGTTGACCTTGTCCCAATATACCCTGGTTGTCTCCTTCAGTCTCACTTCTTTGGTTCTGAAGTACAGACTTCTGAAACAGAGACTTGTGCATATCTTGTCCCTGCAAGATACTGTCACATGCTCCATAGGCAGTTTCCATGATTTCTGTCCTAGTAATTCCCTGTTGTGTTGGCAGTTTCTGCTCCATAGGGTTTACAATGAAGTTCTCAGTATCTGAAGCTGATGTGGGAGGTCCAGTCTTCATGTGTTGTGACTGATGGAGCCCTTGTAAGTTGGGCTGGGTTGTCTGTAGTACAGGTGCACCTCCCAGCCCCCTCTCTGCAGGCACACAAGTCAGTCCACTGCCTTGCTGAATGTTCTGTGTCAGGAGAAGCTGCTGTTGTTGCTGCATCAGAACTTGCTGGTTCTGTCGGAGTCTCTCCTCCTGTTGCTGAAGTAGCTGTGTTTGTTGTAACATGTACTCTGTCTGCATCATTGGGTTTGGCAGTCCGACAAAAGGCATCATCGTAGGAATTGGCAGCATGCCACCTAATCCTGCACCAGCAACTAGGGGATAACCAGGCAGTATGGCTTCTGCTTGTGGCTGGGCATGTTGGATGGTTGGCAGGACCTTATTGGTAGGGCCAGTGTTTTCTACCTTGGGGGACTGGCTGAGGTACTGGAGGTAAGCTTGTACCAAGTAGGGAGGCAAACCTTCAGGAAGGCCACTAGGCAGTGATGGCTGGAAAACATTTTGGCCCAGCAGGCCTTGGGGCATGAAATTCTGGGCAGTAACAGGAGGTAGATTGTCTGAAGTTGAATTTTGGCCACTTTTTGTAGACAGTTCAATATCTTCTCCTTGAGAGTTCACTGTACTATCTATCTTTGGCTGGCAGTGACTGTTGACATCTGATCTAGCCTCCCGAAGGTCATGGCTACTTGGCTCACGACTCATGTCAGTAGCTGGTGATTTACTGTTATTGCACAGAGGATTGTTGGCAACGTTCAAGTTTGTGTAAACATGAGTTTGAGGCTCCCCAGCTGCGTATTGTGAAGTTGCAGATGATTGTTCATCATGTTCAATTTCTGAGAGACTTTTCAAGAAATCTGGGTCAGCCTGTTCGTTGAGGAGATCTCGCACTAGTTTCTGGCCAGATATTTTCTGTGATTCTACAGCAGGCTGCTGTTTATAAGCTGCAGAAGTTTCCAGACCAGACACATTGTCAGAGCGCTGGTATCGCTTAAGTGCATGTAATGCTTTCGGTAGACGAGGTAGACGTAGAGGAAGGTTTCTGGTCCCTTCTTTTTTCTTCTCTGTAGTTTCACCCAGTTTCAGTTCTTGATCCAATGCTGGGGACACATGTGGTTCATCAGGCAACTCATTTGTATCCAGTTTTGGATTAGCTTGATGCTTTACAAGATTTTTCCACAAAGCTGGCACCCTCGGCATTGTGACAGGGTTGGGTGCATTTGGTACACTCGGCTCAGAGGATCCCTGTGGAGCTTTTGGCATTCTTGGTAAAATATGTCCAAGACCTTGAACCCTTTGTTGCTGTGGTGGTTTCTTTTGCTGAGGTTCTTTCACTGACAAATCTTCATCCTCTCCTCTCCCACATACTTCAGGCTTGCCTGGCCTGACCTCTTGTGTAAACGCTTGAGCTCTGGCCTCACTGTAGCCCAGACTTTGTGATCCTTGTGGCTGAAGGGACGGATGCTCTCTGTGAGTGAAAATAGGACTTTCTGACCTTGTAGAAACAGTTCTTGTACCAGAATTTGAACTGATCTCTTTGCATTGGTGCTCACTTTGCTGGTCTTGTTTTTGTTGGGGTTGGTCACTTGGCTGTTTCTGGATAATTTGGGATTTTTCTGGAAGCCATGATTCATTAACTGAATCGTCGTTTACCATTTGCATGGTTCCTACCTTGGACAGCACTTGTTGGTGAATGTGCTGTGCATGGTCCTCACATTTACTGACAGACGATATACTTTCTGGGTCACAGGACTTTGTTGTGGAGGGCCAGACAGACACTACATCATCTATATCATCCTCCCAGTCTTCCCCAAATGATTTGTTCCCAAGTTGTCTGTTTGGATTCTTCTTGAACTCTGTAGTGACCTTATTTTGTTCCCATATTGATTGTACTCCTGGTTCTGCAGATAAAGATTCAACTTGTTCCTCTGGAGCAGCTTTCAACCATGGAGATTTCCTTGTATGCATCTGTCCAGAAGGTGTTGCATTAGCAGAATTGTGTATAGATTTATCCCTAACCCGAGCTGTCTGTGACTCACACTTCTGATGATCCTCCTTCACGTCAAAGTTATCTAACTGATCAATAGGGCTACTTGGTTTGGTCTTGATCTCTTCCTTTTGCTGTTCTAGCATGGCCTTGGCTACGGGCTGCCATTTCATGTACTGGTGGAATGAGCTTGGTGAATGTTGAGGAAGATACTGATCTTTGAGATCTTCATCCCAATCATCATTTGTTACTGTCTTCTCTGGAATGTGCACTTTAACATTTGGGCGTCGATTACTGAAGCTTGTTTTTAATTTTGGATGGTTTGGAGAGTCCTCAGTGACACTGGAAGAATAGGATTTCGGTGGTTGTGATGTGTTTTCCTGCTTGGCTGGTTTTGATTTGATGAGAGGGTTACTGGCCCATACACTTACAGGGTTGACAGGTACAGACTTAACAGGCAAAGGTGGATCTTCCTTCACATCCCAGATACTCTCAATGGGTCTGAAATAACAAATGTAGCTAAACATTAGATTAAGTCACGAAAATTATGGAATGTTATGGAAGAGCAGCGGAAGGAAATTATTCATAAAATGATTCCACTTAAAAAGAATTTTTTTCAAAATGCTATTGATTTAATATGTCCTATTTTATGTACAATGTAAGAATAATCAAAACAAAAAGTACACACCCACAAACCACAAGTATGTTTCCAAATGTCAATCAATAGCACGCTATGCACAAGTCGATCCAAACACCCCTGAAGTCATTCAAACCCTGATTTTACTATAATGTGCAACATTGTATATTTTTCATCATATGTGTTGTCACTTCAAAATGAAGTTTTATCATACATCTTTGACTTCATGTAACTCCTTTTAGCTGAAAATAATGTCATTATTAATATGTTCCAGTTAAAACTTGGTAGTTTATCATAACCTTGAAACTCTACCATTATATTTATTTTATACTCTTCATGATAATAGCTTATAAGAATCTATTTTCTTTACACTGAATAACAGGGATGCATAAGTCAATAAAAAGCAGAAATACACTGAAACACATGGTATGTGACATAAGTATAGAAATTATTCTGCTGAATTGTATGAAAATATATTCAACAATGTCAACTTACTTTGGTCTAACGAAAGGCTTTTCCATAGGGTCTGGTACAACAGTTTTGGCTGCAAGTTCTTTTTCCATTCTGAAAAGACGTCCATATTGAAATTTGTATTCTAAACCTATAAAGTTATTTAAATACTATATATTTCATTCTATAAAACTTTGATGTCTCATATTAAATTAAGTTATTATGAATACCAGATATCACAGCAATCTTTTCATTACCTGTAAGAATAGCCTAGCATGTATCTGTATAAATCCGAGTGATATTATGTGGGAGAAGGACAAGGTTTGGTTTGTTTGTCCTCAACGTCCTGTTTACAGCTATATGGTCATTTAAGGATGAACCTGATTTTGGTGGTGGAAGAAAACAGGGTATCCAGAGAAAAACTGATGACCTGCAGCCAGTACCTGGTGACGCACATAGGCCTTGAACCCGCGACCCAGTGAGAGCAGACAACAAAGTCTTGAGTATAAACCAAATGTTAGCCTACCTTTATATTTTATCCAGTGCCAGAGTGTGACTTCTTGGTATTTAGCATATTATAACTAGTGCAATGTCAGAATATGTCTGCCAAGGATGTAGTTGAGGATAGACCATCTATGTATATTATCCAAATCAGAGAATGAGAAAAGCCTATCTGTAACTTGTCCAATGCCAGGTTTCTATCTTGTATCTATTGAGGATAGCCTTTATGTGTATTTTTTATGATGTCAGAACATATCAACCAAGTATCTAGATGAGGAAACCTAACTTTATATATCGTGTATTAGAACCTTCTTTTTCCAGGCAGACTGACTATCAGTGTAATGTTTCCTCCACTAGAGTGACATAAAAATTAAGTATTTATTTCCTCCTACAGATCTATAATCATGTATTCTCTCCTATATTGACATGTGACCCAAACATACTCACTGTATCTTCTCCCTGTTCATCTGGGCAATCTGTCTTCTCCTCTGCACTTCCAGCTCGGCTGTTTTTTGACTTTCCTCCATCACCTTTCTCAAAATTGCTTCCTCATCCAGTTCATTGCGAGGCCGCATCATTTCCATGTTTTGTAGACGCTGCTGTCGGGTTGACCACACATTCTTCTTTGGAATTGGAGGATCTAGGAAAGGTAGATAAAAGGAACAATGATATTGAGATATAACATTATAAATGTGGCCAATCATGCTAGACGGCATTGCTGCTATCTTGAATCCCTTATACTTTTAAATTTCTCAGCTGTTCAAAAGTATACCCCTTCTGAATCACTCTCACAAATTATGAACAAAGCTGGCTCCATAGATTCTGAGATATAACCATACATGTCTCAGTAAATTATGTTCAAAGGTTATAACAGCTAATTCCAATCCCAAAACTTGATGAAAGTTAGTCATCTGATCTAAGTATATACCCCTATGTACCACTGCAAAGTATGAAAAAAATGGATCAACAGGACTAGCTAGCCTTCTAGCAGTGACGGGAAATGTCTTAGTCAGTCAGAGGTCAATGCTAGCCATCTCGAGATACTGAAACTTAAAAGTCTGTCATTTTGATCCAAAATATACCCTCATGTATCATCTTGACAAGGCATGAAAAAAGGAGAACCAATAGCTAGATATTTGTCCTATCTAAATGTTATGTATTTTATTTGTATACAGTGTAATTGTTATGTATTTTATTTGTATACAGTGTAATTGTTATTTGCATCCTACAATAATTTGTTTACTTATCTTTGTATTTTATGTGGATTCTGCAAAATCTGTACCTCAGCCAGTTTTCATACTTACATTTTCTATATATACATGTTACCCAGCACATCCAAAGTAGTATAGGCCCGCATTATGTATATGGGGGACTGTATTGTCTGTACCTGACCACTGACAACTGGACACTGACCTTGTATACACAACATGTTCTCTTATCTTTTCCCTCTCTATTCTCTCTGTCTATCGTTACATCACTCTAGCTCTATGATTTGAAGGCATCAGATCGATCACCATAATCACTCCCAGAAATATTAATACATTTTCTAATTCTCTTACAAAGCTGGATCCTCAATACTGCTACTACATTTTGTATGTCCTTAGCACCACATGCAGTGCAGAGTAAGCAGATTCATGTTGAACAACTCAGTTGAATGTATTGAAGTTGCCAGAATTCAAATTTCCTTTGTTAATTTCTTCACAATAATTTCAATATTCACAAATGTTGCCATCCTAGATACCAATCACTCTGGATTGTGTGTGTGGGGTAGTGACGGAAAATCTGTAAAAATAAGCCAAAACCCCTAATTGCAATGCAGATCTCTCCCACGCCATTACCCCTCATAAAACCCTCTATAATGAAAAATCTCACAAGGCATTGAAGAAAAGATAAAAGAGCAAATATAAGGTCTCTTAAGAAATGAGGTGACATTGTGAAATATTGTAAGGAAAAGTCCAATGTTTTGACTGGACAAAATATACATAGACATTTAAGACTTTGACTGGTTCTTCAAATTGCAAGCTGACCTTGTTTCATTAAACTCTACAAACATATCACTTACCAGGGACTGTTCTGTCCGGATCTGGTGCAGATTTTTCATACCATTTAGGAGGTTCCACTTTCTGTACCCATTTCTGAGTCTGGGCCCTATATAAACCATCAACTTAATATAACAGGTAAATATATACTCAATACAACTTGTAAGGTCAATATACACATGTATTTAAAAATCATATCAATGTCACTTTGATCAAAATAATGTTACAGTCTCTTTGGTGATATACATTATTATTAAGTGTGAGGTCTATCAAATCAAATTTAATTTCAAATGAGAGATATTCTAGGGGCAGCTTCCCCTCTCCCTTTCCAAACAACCCCATATGTAAATGGAAATATACCACACATTTTTAAGTTTGATGTATAATGTATCTATGCTATGTTTTTATATTTTTGTTGTTATTTTGTTTCCATGTAGAGATAGTACACACATGTATATATAGTTCCATAGTTGTTGTATATCAAAACTTTTATGGAGTGGTATTTTTCTCTTGTTTTTTTTTTATAGTCAGACTTGTGCGTAAATTAAAAAGAACAATACAAAAATTGTGATTAGTATAAAATACTCAACTTTCAAGTATTCAAGTATTAAAATCAATGCCTCCAATCATCATTTGATTATATTAGTTCACTTTATTTTGAGTCAAAAAGAACAATGTCATAAAATTGATGTTTTAAATATCATTTTACATCAATGAAAAAAAAAATCGTAAGAAATATATATATTTTTTTTTTATCCAGAGATCGATTTTCAGAGCATGAACATTGTTTTTTTTCCAGATTTTTTGGATGCGCAAAATATTCGAGTAGAAGCTTTTCTCCCGATTTTCAGCCTCAAAAAGTACCTGCGCAAATTACACAGGTGCGCAAATTACATGGGTTTTTACGGTAGATCTAGCCAATAGCGATGTACATTGTACATCACTGCAATTTGAAATTTGTTCTCTTTTAACTTATATCCATGGTTTCAGCTCTTTTTTTTAGTGGATTATGAGTGACCTTCGACTCATTTGGACCAGATCTCGAGTCTCATCTGTGTATTGGTGATTCTGCAGTCTTACTTTTTGTTTGTTTGGATGGATTGTTTTGTCTTCCCTTTAAAATATCAGAAATGCACTTTTCATAGCAACACACCTTTTAACAAGTCAATATCAAGTAGATGTTTTTGTAAAATTGCTTACATTCAACATGCAAGGGATATATACAACTTTGTAATTGAGACACCTTTTATGCAATTCCTTATCATGATTCTTAATTAAGCTAACCACCTGTTTCATGGTCCCCAGGTGCTACAGAGTTTAACACCCACAATTGAGGAGCTTCTAGTATGTGTTGTGTATACTAACCACCAATTTATCAATCATTCTTAAGATAATTATAAACATACACAGTTTTTCTTGACAAAGTATTAAACCCACCATGGCACGCGCAGTCTAGAGAAAAAAAAACAGGCAGACATCCTGCTTGATTGCTTTAACCCTCATTCCCCAATATCCTTTTTAAGAGGAGTAAAATGAAAGGAAAAGGAACCAGCTACCTTTGCAGTTATCTCATCAACTGAAAACATTTCATCCATACAAGTGATACCATCATTATAACAACATGTCTAATTTAGAAAATTGTGTTGTAACAACAAAAAATATCTGTCCATAAACTAGAGTGTGACCTCTTTTAATGAAAATGACTGTTTACCCTACAAAATAGTTCAGTATCTTCAAGGGTGGAGAGATCATTAAGTCAATAAGCCCTACATTTGACAAATAGACGAGACAGATACAGCTTTTCTCCAACACCTGACAGATTTATCTCCCGTTTTGCCGGTGCTAGATTTATCTGTCTCCGCCCTAGGGCTGAGACGAGGGGATTCCCCTAATCATAACAATGGTGTGACGTCACTTCAACAATACAATGACGTCACGTCAACAATCCATCAACGACACGTCAACCCTGAATTTAGCATGTAACGTTGTCATTACATTGTGTATATGATACACATTGGAAGAATAGGGTAAGAGAAAAAGAATCATTCCCCCCTTTGTGGGTAAGATAGAGGAATCTAAACCCTCGGGAAAAGATTCTTCAGTTGCCAAACACTCGGCAAAGCCTCGTGTTTGGCAACTGAAGAATCTTCCCCCTCGGGTTGAGATTTCCCTATCTCACCCCCAAGGGGGTGAATGATTCTATATGTACTTACCTTTTGTTTTTTAATTCCATGATTTCCTCCTCATTGCGCTTGCGCTCCCGCTCCTGTTGTTTATGGAGGTACTCCTTCCTCATCCTCTCAAACTCCTCGTCTTCCAGAGTGGTGAAGCTGCTTGTTGGATGCTTCTTTTCTGTCTTAAACTGGTACTACAATGCAGTAAACTGACCCATTAAGTTACATCCTGGCCGTCATCATGACATGAGAGTACAGATCCTATACTGAAGGTCCAGCACAGTATATGAGGAATCTAGTAAAACGCTATAAAACAACTACTTGTATTAGTGTTGTGATGAGAAAAGTTATCATGAGTTTGTTAATGGTCTATCAGATACAGACTTTTCTGTATTAGATTCAACATCAGTACAGGATTCTTTGATTAACAGGGCAAATTATTGCAAGTAATGATTTCTTTTTCTATCGAGCTGTACTTCTATCTCAGAATTAAGGTCAAAGTGATATACTTCTCGATCTCTGGCTGCCTAGACTTATTTGAAAATATATAGAAAATATGCCCTGGACAAAATGTTTCAAAGGTTGCGGCCAAAGGTAAAACCATAGGTCATAGTGACCTACTTTTTGTATTTGATGCTCTGTACTTGTATACCAAATCTGGTTACTCCAGGTGAAATAATATATAGAAGATATGCCCCGGACAAACTCCTCGAATGTACGGACATGTAGCTGCAGAGTGCAAACATATAGTCTCCCCTTGAACCGGTGGGGGACTTAAAATGAATATTTGGATAATGAAATTCTTAACAAGAAATGACTTAACATGTGTATTATTAAATATGGTACAATTACAGTACTCATGTTTCTATAATGGGTTTAAGAGGTTATTTGGTTATAATCACTGGTGAGTATCTAGTTCATGTTTCATTCATGGCCTGGCTGATCAGTCATAATTACTGGTAAGTATATCTATTTAGACCGAGTAAGGGTCTGACTGATCAGCCATAATTACTGGTAAGTATATCTATTTAGACTGAGTAAGGGTCTGGCTGTTCAGTCATAATTACTGGTAAGTATATCTATTTAGACCGAGTAAGTGCCTGGCTGTTCAGTCATAATGACTGATAAGTATGTCTATTTCGACTGATTCAGTGGCTGATTAATTATTCAGTCATAATGTCTGGATCGTGCTGGTTAGATTCAGGGCCTGGCTGTTCAGTCATAATGACTGGTAAGTATATCTATTTTGACTGATTCATAGGCTGATTATTCAGTCATTATGTCTGGCAAGTATCCTGCTGGTTAGATTCAGGGCATGGCTGTTCATTCATAATGACTGGTAAGTACATGTACCTAGTTTGTTTGATTCAAAGTCTTGTTATTCAGTGATAATAACTGATGAGTATATCTAGTCACACTTTTAGACTCAGGGTCAGGTGGCTCAAATCCTGATCATCTTAATGAGTCATTAACCAAATTTTCAGCTCACCTGCCCGAAGGGCAAGTGAGCTTATATTATGCCATGGCGCAGCGTCCGTCTGTTCGTCAGCTTTTCCTTTAAAACACTACTAGTCCTGAATGGCCCAGTAGAATTTGACTAAATTTGGTCTGGAGCATCCTAGGGCCAAGGGCACTCAATGTTGTATCCCCACTGGGGGCAGAGGGGTGGGCCAAATAAGGGAAACAACGGTAAACCTTAAAAATTATTCTTCATCCCAATTTGGTTTGGGGGATCCTTGGGCCAAGGCAGGGCACTCAATTTTGTATAAACAGTGGGTTTGGCCCCTAGGGGAGAGGGGTTGAGCCCAATAGGGGAAAAAGAGGTAAAACCTTTGAAATCCTTCTCCTCCAATAGGGATTCAAGATTTTATCCCAATGTTGTCTCCATCAAGTTGTCTAGTAGTGCCTATTACTATTAGGATGTATTCATTAAAACAAGATGACCACGAAGCCGCCGTCTTGGATTTTGTCATTTTAAGTTTGTTATTGCTATTTCTCCAGAAATACTGGATGGATCTTTCTGAAATTTCATATGTACATATACAGTACCTACCAAGGAGTGCTATATCTTTACTTCATATCAAGTACTTTAAACATATATCCAGGTGAGCGATATAGACCCTCTGGGCCTCTTGTTTAACTGGTTTTTGAGAAACATCTAACAATCTATAAATATCCCGTGTTTTTATAATTCATATGATTGTATTGAAACCCTTTTTACGTAAGATTGCTATATATTAAGCCAATAGGGTTTTAAACTACTAGGACCTGGCAATTTCTGAAAAAAAGCAACAACTATATTCTGCAGATTTAATGTGTGTCCTCGACACAATAGATGTCAATGACTGATGTTTTAATAATGAATGCAGAAACCATAAACTGTCTTACATTCTCTTTGTGTTTGTCTCGAAGACTCTCAAGTTCCTGATGCTTGCGCTGAAGCTGTACTTCCTTCTGACGTGTTCGCTCCTCCTTGAGCTGATGTTCTGTATGTCTAACAGGCTGTACCTGTAAAGCAAACAACAAGTTTAATGAGTTACTTATTATTCGTACATCACAAAAATGTCTTCCTACATGTATGTGAATTTGTCAGATGAACTAACGACAAATTCAAATCTTTGATTTTATTTGTATCTAGACTGCTGCTATTCACTAAGCAAGCATGGTTAGATTCACTTTGAGTGTTGAACCTTTATAAATCTTACAATGAAATTTTCTGAAGCACACTAGAGTAGCTAAGACAAGACTGAATTATAGCAAACCTTCATTAGCTCCTTGTACTGTTTTAAGTGGTAATCAAGAAGACTGGATTTATCTCCCCTCTCTCCACTCTCCAGTGTGAAATTGGTGGTGTTGATGGTAGTATTATTGTTGTTGTCTTCATTAAAAAGATACTGTTTGAGAAGTCCACTTTTTACATCCCTTTCTCTGAAGGAATCATCTTTACGTACATTTCCCTGTGAAGCAGAAAATGATGAGGTAAAAACACTGTACACTAGCCTCGATCTACATTACCAGCTATATATGTAAAAATGTCAAGCAGTACGACTAAGCAACTACACTTTTAATCTTAAATCACTGCTTCATTAAAACTATAATGAAATGCTTAACCTTTTTTTTTAATAGAAACATTTTGCAAAATTGACTAATACAAAAACATAGATTAAATTGTATTTAACAATGTCAAGAGTTGAAAACATCTATATGTCCTGACCATAGGAAACAGTTCCTGGCTGTTTAATCGCTGGTTGGTGCTGGCTTTGCTCCCAAACAGACGATTCTGTTTGTCCATGTACTGTTGCACCACATCTGTACTATCTACATCCTCCGTTACTGGTTTCAGGTCCTCCTGATCCTGTAACTTCTTCTTGGCCTCACTCTGAACTTGCTTTTTCTGCAAAAATAAAATACCACAATATTTATGCAGAAAGGGAATAAACAAACTTCATACTATAATTACTTTTTCGTTTATTTCATATTTTTAATTTTGAAAAAAAAAAATCTCTTTGATCTCACCTTTTTACCACAATATATAATATTGTATCCTGAAATATAATGAATAACAAAAATAGCATATGGAAATTCAGTGTGAAACTGCAGACGACATGTTTTATGTCTGGAGGGAGGAGGATCTACCACACTCTTAACATTAAAACATCAGGTAACACAGTCAAATCATTCAAAATCATTCAATGCAATATAAAAATGTTTTAAGGGCCAGTAATGATTTATTTAACAGTATGCCAAGAAGTGATCTATACAGCTAAATTTGCATTAAATGATCACTCAAGGGCAATTTAAAAACCAGTCATTTGATAAAAGTGTCATTTATTACAGTTTAACCATATTATTTTTACAGAATTACATGACTGACTAACTTAACATCTCCTTATTCAGACAATCGTAAACTGACCATCCCCCCCAAAGCACACAATCACACCTGCATTTCTAGATGGCTTGAAACAACATTGTTCATATGGTGAATAATTGAACAATAATTATGGCAGTAAACAAACAATTCAGTGTTAAGAAGAATTGTCATTTAACTCAGAACAAAATATTGCCGTAAAATAAAGTTCCTCGAGTTTAATACACAAGTGTTTTCAGTAGTAACCATAATTTACCCTATTACGCAGGACATTATCGTTGAAATGGTGGTGTTTCCTGCGGTGATCCAGCATTTGGGTTTACATGTAATTTTTGTTTGTTTTACAATGGAAACTGGAAATAGAATCCAGTTAAACTTTGACCTAAATGAAGCCGACAGTATGTTGCTGTAAAATGGATCTGTTTTATAATAATATTGTTGCTAGTACTTGTCATAAGGTAAGTTAAAGAATGTTATTAAAAGCATTAAATATTGATGAGGAATAAGAAACATTATGTATGTTAACATAAACATGTTTATTGAGTAGTTGTGCTGATATCATTTTTTATTTTGCAGAAGAATACTGTCGAGAAGATGACAATAGATCCTCATTTTATGAATGCAACCTGCCGGTGTACATGTACTTTAATCCAATCAAAAGAATATCAAAACGGTTGCACTCAACTACGATAACTGAACAGCATGTATTCAGTGTTAAATCAACAATATTGGTAGTTTGAAAAAAATAAAAATTTTGAGGTCGGCATGTCACTGAAATGATGATAAGTTTTGCTCTGAATTTAGTGAAATGATTGCTAGGAAGTCATGTGTAAGACGGTCGTTAAATTAAGAGTCACACAGTATTTCATATCTCATCAAAAAATGATCATTTAGTGGATTTTGTCAAAATTGTCACTAATTTGGTCAAATGTGGTCGTTTAGCATAGCCTTTTGGGTCAGTAATGGGTGGTCACTGTCGGTATAGACAGATGGTTGCTTAAAACAGTTAAATTAAACAGTAAAAATGTTCAAGAAGAATGAAAAGTGGTCACATAAAACAGATGGTCGTTTAATACAGGTGGTCACAGAAGCAGATTTGACCTCACTCTTTTTTACCATTTCTTTCATTTCTTTTTTCTTTTTCCTCTTTTCTTTCAATCTTTCTTGGGTTTCATACTTCTTCTGTTCCTGTTCCATCTCCATTTCTTTTTTCCTGTTTTCATCCTGTATCACCTCCAACTCCCTCAGAACCCTGTTGCTATCCCTACAACACAACAAACAGCAACATTACCGTATATTGCCAATCATTGCACTTACCACCACCATGTAAATCCTTTCTAAGGTTCAATATGTTAATCAGGCTAGGAAAAATCCTCTCGCCCTGCTGTCATGGCAACAAGTAGTTTTACCAAGAACACACTTGACAGACAGGTAACACTTTTACATCGAATCTGTATTATCAGGTACAGGTATGTGTATGAAACATTGAATTGAACATGAAGTCTTTTTTCATGATGGAGTCAATTTCATGGTTTGTACACATTTATTTATTCTTGTATTTATGGTCAACAGATGATGGCAGTAAAACCAAGTATTACTATACTCAACACATATTTTAGTGTGAAAAAGTGAATGGTTTGGTATGGTTGATATTTACTCCCTGATAGTCACATTCACATAAAAACTTCAAATAGTTTGGACCAGAAGAATAGTTTTATCTAGGTGGACATGCTATAAACATGTTTTTATATTCTGAATTTTTACCTTACTGAATGGATATGCATATATATTTCAAACCAAAACTTTTTGTTTCAGTTGTATTTTACATATAAACACACAGCAAAGCATTGGGCTAGACATTTAAGAATCTTACCCCCAGGGTTGAGATTTTTCTGTCTTACCCCAATGTGGGGAAAGAGGTGGGAAAAGATTATATTGATCACCAGTTGGATAACAGCCATTCTCTTCAAACAGATTTATGGTTCACCAACATAAGTAACCAACCCAAGAAGACAAGGTCAAAGAATTTTACATGTGGAAAGTTTGATATATTTCCCTAATATTACACTTACCATTGATCTCCTCCAGTATGAGTCTTCTTGGATTTTTTGCTTCCTTGCTGAATTTTTGACTGTATATTTTCTCCTATTTCTCTCATTTCCTATCAAACATGAACATATATGATAATCATTTTTATAGACTGTTGAGTCCCTATGTCAAAGGTATCATCTCTTCACAATATACGTTTAGTTTCCTTTGCCCAAGATAACCCTAAACTAAGTAAGGTTAAATCTCTTTAAGTACACAAAAGAAATATTTAATAAGTTACCTGTAGTACCTTTACAAAATCTAAGATGATGTGGTTGCAAATTTTCTTTTTATGATTAGCTAGTAAGCACAACTAGAGACAAAGTAGATCACTGATACATATACTATGTTTCGTTATGATTTACCTACTCAAGGTTTTTCTGTATATGAGTTATAGCAATATTATAAACTTAACATGCAAAATCCAAGGTGACTCTCTGGCAACCATTCGTTCTTTTCATTCATCTCAAAGCATACACAACTCGGGACAAAAGGGATCAAGTGTACCTAGTTTTATCATAATCCTTTTAATACAGTCCAAAAGGTGGTGTTAACAAATATAACAATGAAGATGCAATATCCATACAAAATCTGAAGCAGTTGACATTGAAGAAGGAACAATAAGGGTTTAATGAGCTCATGTACTCCATGTTTCCTCATGACCATAAAAGTAACAAGTTATATATTATATATATATAATTGCCTTCCTGTTTCCACCATTATATATTCATAACAAGAATAGCCCTTCTAATTTTGTCAGACACCAGTGGTAGGTATAACAAAGATCCACAGAACACGTGGTTCACCTTTTCTCTGCGACGTTGTTCAGCAAGGAGCTGCTTCTTTGACACAGTCTTGGGTTTTTCTCCTGGCATCTTTCTATTGGCTTTCTTTTTTGCCTTCTGTAATTGAAATGTTTTGTACTATACCAACAGAATGTCAAAGTTAGCATATAAGGCAACGTAATATTTAGAAATAGAGTTAAATACAGATATGAACTGTGTCTTATAAAAAGAGTAATAAACAGCAGAGTTATCCATGACCTGTTTTACTAGCCTTGTTAAATTTCATTGAGACATTATTGAATCGCCCCTGTACTGGTTAATAAGATTAACAAGCTATATCGCTAAATGACTATCAACCCCTTCCCACACTCATCTTTGTGTTTCAAATGCTTGGTTATTTCTGAAAAGTGAATAACTTTGTATATCAAGACTAATTTTCTATCCTATTGCAGTTTTTGATATTTCAAAATTGTGTTGATGTTGTTTATTTTTCAAATAGTATCTGGTTACAACAAGTTCTCTCCTACCAGCGACAACTCTGAAACAAAATGTTATCTTACCCGCATGCGATGGTTATGTCTTTTCTTTGGATCTCTGGACTTCAGCCATTCATCGTATGAGTGAAATTTCTTCAGCTTAAGTTGTAAATACATGTACAACAATCTTAGTTATATAGAAAAAAATGAACTCACAGGAATGTGAAATCAAATTAAGTATATGATTTTAAACAAATCAACCTAATATTTACCTCAATACTAACATGACAACATCTAATTATAGTATTAAACAATTAGGGGATAGACAGTACGTTGTTTTGAGTGGCTATACTGGCGATTAGAACATGAAATTTGGGTTTGAACTCGAGACCGATAGGGCGAGAGTTTAAACCAAATTTAAACCAAATTTCATGTTCTAATAACATGTTCTAATTTCATGTTTGTGTTAGAATACAGTTAGAACAGGGGATATGATAACTATAGCAGAACATATACAGTCACTCAACAGCCAATGTTCCCCTAAACCAGAATTGTCAACTTATAACTTCACTTTAGATCTCAACAACTTTCCATGATGTTGAAAACAATAAATGTGAACGAATCCATGAACATTTTCTGGGAATGAGACACAATTTTATGGCGTCATCAACAGTAGATGTGAGTCAACAATGGCTTATGAAAATTTCAGGCTATTTCTTTTACTGAACCAATCACAAGTTAATATGCTTTGAAAACTAAATTTGTAATCGCTGATCATGATCAGCTAATGTATGAAAGAATCATTCATAGAAAAATACTATATATACAAGGAACTGTTTTTAGTTTTGGTCAGGTAATAACTCCAGTTGAGAACAAGTAAATTAATTTCAGATTGCTTTGCCATCTATTCAATTTACATGTGCTCAACTGAGGAGCTCTTGCCTCATATCCTGACCAAAATAGAAGACTATTTCAACAATTAGGTAAACAATTTATTGCTAAAGAAGATTTCTAAATAACCTACGTCTTCTTCTGTCAGCTCATAATCACTGTCATCTTTTGTTCTGTATTTCTGCAATTAAGCAAAACATGAGAGAGAATTAAAATACTGATGCAAAGCACTTGGTGAACAAGTCCTGGGTGTTGTGTGAAACACAATCTTCTCTATTACATGTTTCTTGAAATCTCTGCACTTTTACTGCTCTCAAATTAAATTCCAATATTATGTCCCATTAATTCATAACCCACCAGATGAAGATATCAGTAACTTTTCAAATATCACTTTCTGTCTTTTGATTTCAATGTTTTTACCAATCAATTACCAAAACAAATTAAAACAAATAGGAAAAGGAACCAATGAAATAGGAAAAGGAACCAATGACAAATGTTTGGTTACATATTATTTTGTTGGACGCAACATGTGATAACATAGATATCCGGAAGCAATCTGTAGAGATCTATTAGAAGTTCTAAACTAAAACAGAGTTTGGTATTAATGTCCTAACATTATATGTACCATTAAAGTACTGATTTGATTGCGGACTATCTAATGATGATCTAGGCAATACATGCCAACAACAAAATTCAAGGATGATGACTTTATTTGATAAATGTAACATGTGAACCATGATACATGAAAATGTGAATAAAGAACACAGTGACAATCATCTGGTACTCAAGATTTATCATTTAACATTAACTTGGACTATGCAATTTTTAATATCAGAGTAATGAAGCTAAATGCAAAATTGAATTTAAGTCAATGAAACAAATTGAAAATATAGGTCACAGTCATGTAACTCTGGGCTCAGTTGAGTTCAGAAACAATGATATAAAATCACTCAGCATGATGAGTGTTAAACCTTATTTAATTGTTTCATTACAAATTTAGGTGCATGACAATGAAAAGTTTGATGTTGATCGATTTGTGATATCAATGCAATAAAACGTTATTGACAACAAAATTTGGATCATATGAATTGGTCTCAGATGAAGCTGTCGACCATACCCTGAAGATGAAATCAAAGAAATTGTCCTCCTCCTTCTCCTCCTGGGTGTACCTCTGATCGGGGGGCTTTTTCCTTGTCTGGAACCCTGTGGTTGTTTTAATACAAAAATTACACCATATTGATGAAACAATTATTGAAGTTTTACACTTTGCGATTATCCCAAAGTTAATTTTACAGTAAAAATTGACAACTCTTACATGCAAAGACTGAGAGGCTAACAATTTTACAGCTACATATAATTGCTAATCTTGCCTACATTGATCCAATAAATGCTAATTCTGTGTGCTTGGGAATAAAATTACTTTTAAAGTGATAAATGCTTTAGATGTTGATTGGTTAATGTGCTATTCAATGTTATTGCATTATATACTTGTTGATAATACACAGATGGTAAGATTCAACATTTGTACAGTGGGCTCCGGGAAAATAATACTTTCCTGACCCAAAGTAATTATTTATAGAACAGCCCTTATCAGTTAAACATGATGAATCTAAGATGATTGTCTATATTAGAAGTCTTGAGCACGATTTACTTGGCAATGTTCATGATCATGTTTAAGCCATCCCCATCTACAAATTGACACACACACAAAAATAAGGAAAGAGAACCCTAAATAATTTTGAAACAAAGGTCTTGATAATGCTACATATCACATCAATACTTTTAAAAGGCTAGCGTGAATGCTGATTGGGTTTCAGTTTTCAAAAATTGAGCAAAACATACAACCAATCTTCATCTTACTCCACCTTTAGAGTCCAAGTTGTCCCCAGAAAACTTAAACTTAAATTTAAATTGAATGAGTGAAAATATCCAATTTACAGCAATTTAACAAACTTCGCAGAAATGTCATTTCCTATACATTGTTTAGAGTAAACAAAACTCATGCTAATATTGCATCCTGTAAAGATTGTTTTCACTGCACAATTTCAAAGCTGTATAAAATATTCCACTAATACTTACTTCGCTTGAAGATAAACTCTGAAAACACACCCATGAATATTCTTCCAAAGTAGAATATCTGAAATCAAAAAGAAATTCTCTTATAACTGAATTTGTTGCAAAATTTTAGTCAGAGACTGGTCATGCCCATCAGTTTATTGCTACTTATTGGTATCATAAAATAGTATACATGTTCAATTTTTTGGTGTTTCTGATTGTTTGCATGGCAATAATAGCCCGATAGCTATATATATTGTGGACCTAAATTTTATCACTTGCTAGCAGAAAATGAGACTGCTGTGACACACCTGTTTCAGAACCAAAGACTGTTGTCTGATTTTACTGTAATAATAATATTTATCACAACCTAGTTCGTAGGTCGTCTCAAAGCGGTTCACAATTTATTATCCGTGGTTATAGGGCCTTTGCAACCAGCCAATATCTTTCTCAACTCCTTGGAGAGCATACAGCCGGTGCTGCCATTTCGGCGCTCACAGCGAGTATTCAACAATTCTAGCACTGCCCAACCAAGTACTCATTTACAGCTGAGTAGACTGGAACAAGTGGAGTAAAGTATCTTGCTCAAAGATACAACACAGTGCTGTGGCATGACTCGAACCTGCAACCCTTTGGTCACGAGCCCAGCGTACTATTGGTGTGGTGTAGTCTCCTAATGAACCATACTGTACTTGGATGCACTTACATTCTCGTCTGCTTCCTCACTATCGCTGTCAAAGTACCAATCTTCTTCATCCTCATAATTATCGTCATCATCATCCTCATCATCACTAAACTCATAGTCACATCCACAGCCACAATGTGAGCAAAAGGCCTCCCCTTATGTAAAAACATTAACAAAATTATTGTGTAATCTGTAGATGTTTAATGCAATGATATTTTTATTTTCACACTTGTTTTCTGTTGAGCTGGGAAGTCTGATTTGTCTCTCACTACAGATATGGATATATATAGCCGTTCTCAAACGAGTGATGGTTGGTTTTCATGTGTATCTAACTAGTTAATCTTCAAATTGTATAAAGACACAAGCTTTATCCAGTGTCTTTTACAGTTTGAAAGTTAACTTATGAGAGTTATCTGCATCTACACAACAAAAGCTAGCTTTTCATGTAATCTATTTTATGTACTCAGCACATGAGTCAATACGTATACATGTATTGTGAAAAATCCACAAGAATTACCTATGCTAAAATGTGAGTATTTCTGTTACCGAGTAGATGATATTCTATTTAAGAGAGGTAATAAGAGGCTTTTTAATCCTCGGCAATATATTGCAATATGTATTGTAATGTTTAGTTAAATATTGTTATATATTGCAGTATGGTTTCGCTTCCCAATTCCCAGCCCTAAGTTACAATAGACTCACTATACTAAATCTAGATATGTCATCTCAAAAGATCATGAATTAAAACAAATAATGATAAAACATTGAAGAAGATGGACATTTGCTATTGCACAGAAATAACATGCATATGACATTTCTTCAAAATTCTACTCATCTGACAGACAAGTTTGAACGTAAAATTCATTGATCTGCTGCCAAATCCACTTGTCAGGATGAGTGAACAATTCAAAATGCAAGTGCTTTATCCAAACAATGATACTGTGGCATGCATGGAGAAGTAACTCTGATAATATGTGATTGTGAAAGTGGATTATTGCAATTCAGATTCAATCCATTAAAAACACATGTACAACATACTTGATTTTGTCAGTTCCAAATATGCCTTGCTCAGCTCTTGAAATTTTTGTGTTGCCTCAGGATCGTTCAGGTTCTGGAAAAGAAGTGAGTGAATTATGTTAGTCTTGTATAAATTAGAATAAAGAGTCTTTAATTTAAGTATAAAGCCACGAGGATGTAGCGGAGTACCAGAGAATATATATTTTTAACAACCAACAATTCTGTCAATTTTTACAAGAAATTAAAAATATTCCAAATGCAACAATACATACATCTATAAACATTTAAATCATTATTGAGACACTTAAGCAAAATCTTGAAAAGAGAATTGGGTTGAAATGAATACTAAAGAATTGAATTTTACCACAAAAATTGTATGGCTACAGTATGCAGTTTAAACACCAAATCCTACCTTATCAGGGTGATACTTCAAGGCTAATTTTTTGTATGCCTTCTTGATATCTTCTGAAAACAAAATCAAAATGGAGTGATTATGAGTGGGGACTCAGTACTCCTCTTCCATTACTACAGCCACAAAAACAGGTGTAAAACAATAATTTGGTATATATTTGGAAGAACTGGATTATTCTATCACAGTTTTTGAAATGCAAATCACCCTCTTTTATTATAACCATCCCATCCAAAATAATTGTGCAGAAACTGTCAATCAATCAGAGCACAGTACGATAATTACTTATGCATGGATTTGGCTAAACTTTGTATAATGTGCATGCATACCAGGTTTAATCAAAATTGAATGATATTTAAACAAGTCATCTTGTGGAAACCAAAGTGTGGACGGAAAGACACTCCCCATACCATAAAAATTAATAGCGCATTTAACAAAATAGATGAACAAGAAATGCCAGAAGGATATTGTTGTCAATCCATCCACCACTGACAGGTCTTCACTTTTTTGCCTGGATGGATAGTCAATTTTCAGTTGATGCCAACTGTGGCAAATTTTGATAAAACTTCATACAGCTATGTTTAGAAACTATTACATTGTCTTTTAACCACTTGCCTCATAGAAATAGAATAGTAATGTTTGAAAAAAGAAGACCATTTTCTGATTTCACCCATCTTTTTCTTTTGATCAAGCTTAAATTTTCAAATGAATTATGCAAAAGGGAGAAACAGAAACTGCTTCTTTATTATGAAATTTAGAAAGATTGATCTGTATCTTACTCAGCTTCTGAGAAAAACCATTAATTAACGAGGCAAAGTATAGCAAGGCAATTAATCCATATTCCCTGACTGGTAATGATTTAAATAATACAAAACAATGAAGATAGTGCTGATCTCCAGAAAGACTTGGAGCAAATGTGTAAATGGAGTGATACGTGGCTTTTGAAAATGCATCCGGATAAGTGCAAGCATATGAGATTAGGCAAGGGTAAAACGCAAGAACACAACAGAATCAGATCCACCTACTACCATCGTGGAGGAAACTTGTGCACAATAAAACAGGAGAAGGATAATGGAGTTACAATAGACTCTGAACTATCATTCGATAATCAGATCAATGATAAAGTGAAAAAGGTTAATTCTATATATATGTTTGCGTTGCTCAGGAGAACGTTTCAGTTTATGGACCAAAAGTCATTTGTCCCCTTATACAAGTGCCTGGTACGTTCCCACCTGGACTATGCCAGTCCAGTGTGGACACCATATCTTTATAAACATATCGATAAGATAGAAGGAGTACAACGAAGAGCAACAAAGTGTCTGCCAGGTATAGGAAGCGTAAGCTACAGCGAAAGGCTGGGGAAACTCAAACTACCAACTTAAGCCTTTAGGAGAATAAGAGGAGAAATGAAAGAACTATATAAAATGTTAAATGGTATTTATGATAAGGACTGTTGCCATTCAGTAATCCTATGGGAACATGTCACTCAAAGGTACAGCAGCAGGATACACCTAATGACATTATACCCAAAAAGATCAACAAACAGGCTAAGGAAGCACTATACTTTTCAATCAAAATTAACTGTACCTCTTTTAAAAATAAATTGGACAATCATTGGAACAATCAAGATCTTTTCAACAACAACAGAGCTATATACAATCAAATATTAATCAAACTATGCATATATATATATATATATATATAAAATGAGCTTGTTTTCATGTTTTGTAACTTTTAGCGTGATATATTATATAATGCATTTTTTATGAGTCTGGAATAGAGGAATTTGATAATTCCTGAACTGGAAATAAACTTATCTGATCTTACTTCTATATGACACAAACAGTACACTTATGCCAAGAAACATAGGTCAAAGTGAGGTCATAGTGACCTACTTCTTGCACTCCGTAACCCTAAGATGTCCTTAAGCTTGTACACCAACTCTGGTTACTTCATGTTAAATAGTATAGAAGATATGCCACGGACAAGTTTTTCATAGCAATATTGATTCTGTTCATCCAAATTAATTTTAGCACAATATGTCGAGATGACCTGGGACGAAACCACCAAAGGGACAGTCATGATCTCCGGGATCCCCGGGATCCCCAAGGTTGTCTTCCAATGACATTTTTTTCTTAAACAGTTTTGCTTCTTAAAATTTTCATCTCCTATTTTCTATCATTTATGAACTGAAATATATCGAAAATGAAAAAGAAATATTGAGACATGGCCTTAGTGATGACAAAACGATCGTCCATGGCGTGATAAACTTGTGAATTTCGCAGCAGCCTTTCATTTATACGAGGGACATGGATATCCTGAGTGGTAAATGCATAGATGCATTTCGATGTGAATTATTCACAATTCATTAAATTATCTGATTACCATCGGTTGCATTCGTATCTAATTCGAAAACTTCTAAATATTTTTGTCTTGCAGCCTCCCTTTTTAGCGCCATTTTTTCATCTCTTCAATCACATGATCACTCTACGGCGACATCTACAATGTGTTTACAAAATTCATGCATGGGAGGTAACTCTAACTAAAAAAATATATCTTATTTGATAGGACACAAGTACTAGTCAATCGGGAACCGGAAATGAAGTATGTGAAAGTGAAAGTAGAATTTCAGTGTCAACAAAAATATACGACTAGTTGTAGCGGGATTTACATTATTTTAAAAAGAAATAGGAGGTATATAGGGGTAAGTGGTGAAGAAAGGGTTATTAATATGTAATTCACAACGGAAGGAAAATCATTCCTGCATTTATAACTTACTGTTTAGTCATTAAAATGTTTAGAACTGTATTGTCTTCCCTGATTTTCTTTTATTTTCAGTAATTTTATTAAATTGAATTACTACACCTATAAAAACGATCAGATGCCTTTGATAGCGGATTCCTGAATTCAAACAGTTAAAACAATGCTTGTAAAATTACTTATGGAAACTCTTTTTTAACAATAAATTTATCGCAGACATTACATCAAATTTCACAATTATTACACATGCAATTCACAAGAATTTAAGATAACAAATTTACTTTAGGTTATGGACATTAATTTATTGTTTCAGATTGGTAATGCACAAGTACTAAATTTTACAGATCATGAACATTGCTTACATATATATGTATTAACATTGTTTCAGACCCATCTTTCAGTGTCAATAATTACACCTGTATTTACAGACACGTTATGAATTTTTAATCATTGCTTCAGACTGGTTATAAATTTGTGTTAACTATCACAGACAAGTAAGAATAAAATATTGATTGATTCATTATGAGGAACTTTTATTAATTGTTTCGGACTGTTAACATACATATATATTTACTTTCACAGAAAAAAGTGATAGACATTTCATCATCAGATTAGTTCTAGTTGTGTAGATTCATCTTTGTGTGACCAAAAAGGCACAAGCCAGATACATGCATGGTAACATCATGCACTTTATAAGTATTTAAATATTTGAATTCATGGTAAAACATATTTATCTAATCAGAAATCTAACCTACCTGTCAGACTGTCAAAATAATAGAAACTGAAAAAACTCCTCAGGTTCTTTTCAAAGTAATTCCACATCATGATCCAGCGGTTCCAGCATATTATTTGTTTGATGCACATTTAGCAATACTATTTGCATTGGTCTAGGGTATATACCTTTTTGTTTAACAACATAATTCATGTAGCAAAACATTAAAAATGTGTATAATCCTCAATTCCAGGTAAAGCACTATAAAGTATAGTTGAAGCCCAGAGATAAATTCACCCTCTCATTGAAATTAAAATAATACCTATACCATTTTCTGTTGATAATGTAACATGTATCGCTATATTTCACCTATTTAAATAGTGTTACAATTGTGTCAGAATACCTGTCAATATATACAGTGATAGGCAATCATTTATCAATCTGTCTTACTGTCAATAGTGATACATGTATATATAAAACATGTATAGGGTAAATGTAATGGACAATTATTGTAAAATGTATAAATATACATGTGTAATACCTCTCTGTGGTAGTAATACATGTGTAATACCTGTCTGTGATGGTATATATACATGTGTAATACCTGTGTGTGATAGTATATTATTACATGTGTAATACATGTCTGTTATAGTATATACATGTGTAATACCTATCTGTGATAGTATATACATGACTGTGCTATACATGTCTTTGATATTGTATACCGGGTACATGTGCAATACCTGTGTGTGATAGTTATATATATACATTTGTGTTATACCCGTATGTGGTAGTATATATATGTGTCATACCTGTCTGTTGTAGTATATACATGTGTAATACCTGTGTGTGATAGTATATACATGTGTAAAACATGTGTGTGATAGTATATACATGTGTTATACCTGTCTGTGATAGTATATACATGTACATGTGTTATACCTGTATGTAGTATTATATACATGTGTTATACCTGTCTGTGGTAGTATATACTGTACGTGTGTAATACCTGTCTGTGACAGTATATACATGTGTTACACATGTCTGTTGTAGCAATTGCATGTTATACCTGTGTGTGATAGTAAATACAAGTTTAATATGTGTCCGTAATACTGAATACATGTGTTTAATCTGTCTGTGGTATTCTATACATGTTTATGTTTAATGTATGTATATACAATTGCTGAACATGACGATTTGGATACACTTGTGTTATCAGGATTTGCCCCATAGACAGGCCCTAACCCTGCCTCCTGTTTACTATAAAAGATCATTGAAATGTCTTTACATAGGAATGTATCCAGATTATAAATAGTAGTATACAGGGCCCATAAAGAATGGTATACAGAAAATATATAGAGTGGAATACAGAGTAAAGAGAGTGGTATACAGAGTATATAAGGATTAGTATGCACAGTATCTACGAAGTGGTGTAGAGAGTATATTGACAGTCCAGGTATACAGGGTATAAGGAGTGGTATACAGATTATATAGTGAGTGATATACGGAATATATCAGGAGTGGTAAATATAGTATAAAGGTGTGTTATAATGAATATATTGAGTGGTATACATAGAATGAAAGAGTGGTATATAGAGTATATGAGGAGTGATATACAGTGTATATTGAGTGATATACAGTGTATATCGAGTGGTATACAGTGTATATCGAGTGGTATACAGGCTATTTTAGGATGGTATACATAGTATACAGAGTAGTATTCAGAGAGTAGTAAACAGAGTGATATAGAGAGTGTTAAACAGAGCATATAGAGAATTGTGTACAGAGTTTATAAGGAATGAAATATATCTGTACTTCATATATTCTGTATAGTACCTTTATATACTGTGTATACATAATCCTATCTTTACATTATCTGTACACTACATTCTGTATTTCTTTAATAAGCTATGTATATGAAGTATCTCTCATGACTATTTTCAGTTATATATCATCTAATTGCTGAAACTTGTTGATAATATACTGCATATAAACTTACACTATTTGATTTACCTCATAAAGAGTCATTACTTATTGGGTATGAGTTAGCTATATACAACAAAAGATGTTTGTTTTCTGTTACATGTTTGAAAAAAATATGTATAGGTATATTATAGATAGGTAATAAATTATTTTTTCAGTTATTTTTATTTAGTCTACACATATAAAGGAGAGTGATCTTGACTTGAACAGTTCTTTTTTTGAAAATTGGCAAAAAAGTTTTGGGTAGGCACAAAACAATATATTTTTGGCCTTTTATATTATGAAAGTGTGGCCACCTTAGGGTTGAGGGGCTGGGCCAATATGGGGAAATTGGCAAATTTTAACTTTAAATTAAGACTACTTTCTAGAAGAACCTGTCACCATATAAATTGTTACAATATATGGTAAAAATGGCTGAGGCAATAAGGTGACCATATTTTGTATCAGTCAAGTTTCTACAACCTAGAAAGGCATGGCATAAGATGGGCCCAATATAGAGCAAAATAAGACAATTCAATCTTCAAAAAACTACTTTTTCTCAATGACTACAGATTGTAGCATATCTCAGGTCTGAAAAACTGGGACAAAGCAGTCATAGAGGAATTTTGGGTGTAAAGCTTTATGTACTTTAAATTATCAAGATTCCCACCATACCCTGAACACATCCATGCTCCATCCTTTCCTGCTCCTGAGGGCTTATTCCCCAGGTCTTAACATGAAATCAGTTCAGATCCTTTTCATATGTTGCTGGGCATGAAGAGAAAATAACCCTCATGCTATCAAGTCCTTTA